ACACTATCTCCAGGATATATTGCAAATTACAAAAAGGAAACAGCTACATACAGAACAAGAGGCAGTCTAAGTAAACTACAGTTTAACAAGGAGCAGAGGCCTGCTTCACACATGCGTACATGTTGCACGGGTGCAGATGACCTCTTCAGAGAGAGTCAAGAAACCGGCAACACTGGTGTCTACGGGGAGGGCACTACATGGCTGAGAACGGGGTTGGGGAAGCTTGTAAAACCGAACTCACTAGCACCTAATCAATTTTGATCCCTAACCGCCCTAGGGGAGAGAGTCGGCTGTAAACCTGAACAGTAGGAGCAGAAAGCCTCATCTTTCTCCTCCGGAGCGGCTGGTAGGTTCAAAATGTTGACCTTTTGAATCTGCCACCAGCTGCTGGTGGGAGGTTTCCTCAGCAACATGGTACAACCCTGTTGTACCTTTGGCATTTTTAGGTGCTACTTACTTAAAACAATCAGTATTTTTTAAACTCTTTGAACTCTGGTCTTATTAGATTTCAATTTAAAATACATTATATGATTGACTAAATGCCTATGCCACACCTCTCTATTCCTAGAGATCCTTATCAGAGTAAATGTGGAAATGAAGCAGAAGGAGAATTCGTGATAATTTCCCGCCGAGGGCGGCAGGCTCACCTTGAAAATGATCACAATGGGTATGTCTTCCGACAGAGTATTGTGCCTCAGGTAAAACCGTCCTTGCTTCACAGCCATGTTGGTCCTGCTTTTCTTCTCGTGCGTCGAGCTGCAAGGAGTCGCAGGCTGGTTAAATTACCCTCCAGGTGAGAGGATGGCTCTGACTTAGAACTTAGAGAAGGTAGTTTCAAGATAGTAACGTGTATTCACAATGGCCATCAAACCATAAGATCTGATTGATCAATAAAGTTCATTAAGGTCTTTTCATTCTAATAAGCTACAAAGGGTTTTCTACAACACGCGCCCGCTCCCACTTCCACAAACATCTGCAAAAGGTGCACATGCTGCTTTCACTTTGAGATGACGATGGAAGATTTGCGGGGAAATGAATGAGAAACATCAGTTCACCATCTAACCTATTTCTTTCTTTTTTTTTTAATAGGGGAGAGCACAAACGCAGTCCCCCACTACCACAAATTATGCAGTTGAGTTTCCCATGTTTGGGAAATCGCAGGGGTCAGCACATCCAGAGTGCAATGGGTGAGCCTCGCCCTGGGAAAACCACCTTCATGATCATGGTAGCTCCCCTGCCAGGCAAGTATGAACCTATTTCTTTTTGATGCCGCAGGAATCACTTCTGAGCCAGTGTGGGGCACGTGTTCATGACCAACTGTGCACACTGGAAAAGGAAAAGCCTCAAAGTGAGAACAAGTCTGAGGACACGAATTAACATATTATGATTTTTAAATTCACAGTCCAATAAAACATACCTTTAACGTTGGTAGACAGTGAAGACAAAATTTTATAGTATGCTGGGTGTGAGACACTCAGCAATCTCCTTCTGTTGGTACCTCTGTCCATTATAAAAGGAGCCCTGGTGCTAGGCACTGGGCCCCCAACTCCACAATCAGCGGTTCAAGGGAAAAAATTAGGCTGTCTTCTCCACAAAGATTTGGCAGAAATCCTAAATTGGGTTACTGAGAGTCGAGATTGACTCAATGGAAGTGGGCTAGGTGGAGCAGTAAAAAAAATCCGTAATAGAATTTAAAACCTCTGAAAGATTTAATCAACTATAATAGTACCCCTCCTGATTGTCTACTGTGCACTGTTACTTACATTCGTTTTCCACTTACAAGACTTACTTTGAAGTGTTGTCTAGAAATCACAGGTAGCGTCTCCAAGGCTTAGTAAAGCTAAGTAGCTGCCCACTTCAGTACCCAACAGCTAGTAAATAAGAGCCTTGGAATCCAAATCCAGATGGCCCTGGTTCTAATGCTGTGCACAGTGGGAAGGCACAGGTTGTAGAATGAAAATAATGGGGCTCAAATGTAGGCTATCTCTTAAAATTAATGTGAGTCTAAGCTCCAAACCTAGACCAAACCTGTAAACTGGAGACAAGATCATTCATCTTGCAAAGTGCTGGTGACAGTGCCAGCTCTTAGTAAACCCAAACCCAAACTCACCACTACTGAGGCCTTTCTGAATCACAGTGACCCTACAGGACAGAGAACTGCTCCTATAGGTTTCTGAGGCTATAAATCTTTATGGGAGCAGATAGCCTCATTTTTCTCTAGCAGAAAGTCTGGTAGGTTTGAACCACCGACCTTGTGGTTAGCAGTTCTAACGCATAATCCACTACACCACCAGGGCTCCAAAAGTGCTCGATAAATAGTAGTCCTTGTGAGCTGCTTCGCCCTTGGAAAGAAAACTGCAACAGTGGTGGGCTAATCAGTTCAACATCAGTTGTCTAAAGAAAAATGTTAGTGCATGCTGACACCTTACTTATGCCACTTAGCATTCCATTCCCCAAACCTATTAACTTCCCAATTTCAAATTACACATGATGATGAGAGAAAAGAACAATGTTTTAATGCTTTATTTAAACAATGTTTCAGGTTTCATTACTGAAACTACTCTTTGCTTAAAAACTTTCAGGAGCTTTGGTGGCAGAATAGCATACTGGGCTAACCACAAAGGCAGCAGTTTGAACCTACCAGATGCTCTGGGAGAGAAAGATGAGGCTTTCTGTTCACATAAAGATCTACAGTCTGGGAAACTGTCCTACAGGGTTGCTATAAGCCAGAATCAACTGATGGCAGTGACTTTTTGTTTCTGCTTTAAATATACTTATACAATAAACTAAACGCAAATAATTTATATACTGGGGTCATCAGAAAAATTTACCAACACCTCTCTTTTCCCATACCTGGTCACTGAAGCACCAACCGCACCTTTCCGGTCAGCTTCCACAATGATCCTGTTCTTAGACAGCTGCTCCTGGATGAGAATAACTTTCTCTACTCCTTTGACAATGAAGTAACCACCTGGCCAAAGGAAACGATTTAAGCATCACCACCTTGTCCTCAGACAGGCTGACTCAGGAATGGCAGCCAGCTCCAGGATTAGAGGTCATTGCTTCCTGCTTTACTGGGTGCTTCTAGTGCAGTGGTTCTCAACCTTCCTAATGCCATGACCCTTTAATACAGTTCCTCAGATTAGAGTTAGGGTTAGGAAAAGAAAAAGTTAAAAAGAATTTTTTAAAAATACAGTTCCTCATGTTGTGGTGAACCCCCCCCCCCCCAACCATAAAATTATTTTCGTTGCTACTTCATAACTGTAATTTTGCTACTGTTATGAATCAGGCAACCCCTGTGAAAGGGTCATTCAACCCCCATAGGGGTCTCGAACCACAGGTTGAGAAGCGCTGTTCTAGCGGCTTTGCCAATGCTGTTTCATGGATTGATCATCTGGCGCACAGAGACGAGGACAGAACGGGAAGGTCTCGTATTTGGTTATGCATTCCCAGCACCTGAACCTACTGCAGGTGCACCAAGAAATATGTTAAACAAATTAGTCTTCAGATTTCAGAAGCAGAGAAATAATGGGCAACTTAATTTGCCCTCAGTTTCCTAACACATTAGTGACAGTAGTAGGCTAAAATTAGCTTTCCAAAATAATATTCTATACTTAATAAGAGCAATACAACATTGTCATATATTTCTGTTCCCACAATTCAGAGTAAGAAAAAGTTACTCTTCATGGGGCAGTATATAAGCAAAGGTAAGGTAGCACATTTGATTTATGCAATATTTTGTTATCTACTAAAGTGATGTTATTTGTTAACTTATAAAACCCAGGATTCTGCATCAGTGTAGCCTTAGGGGAACTAAAGCAACTATGAAAAAAAATCAGTATCAAAAAGTTAAGGAATTAAGATAAACTTTCTGTTATGTGTCAAATTTGATTATAAAAGAAATTGCCATAAAAAAGGCACAGAACTATAGCTATTAAAATCAAGACAAAAAAATACCTTCTTTTGCTCTTTCCTGAAACGGAAAAGCCTGGAGTCATACCTGAGTTTTTCAGACTGAGCCAGATAAAAAACTCCATGAAACTGTTCTATGATATTCCAGCTTATATATATTAAAAACCTAGTGAGCAAAGAAAGAACTGACTAATCATAGCAATTAAAAACAGAAATAAAAGCGTGGAGTATTAAAGTTCTATATCTCAAGTGAAAAAACAGTGTATCTTTCGGAACTACAGCCCAATAAAAAGTTGAAGCCAAATGTCTAGAGGTTTTGTGAACAGATTTTTTACAGCAAGTTCACTACACAGCAGAAAGGCCGGCACTATTTTGAATAAATCTAACAACAACAGTAAAACAAAAAGCAAAAAAATAAAAAAAGTGGGGGTGTGGGGGGTGGTTGGGGTAAACCTGAGAAATCAAACATACCTGGATCTAAAGGGCATTCATTCAATTTGGCAAATTCTGCTGGTGTTTTTCCCGTAAGAACACAGTTTGAACTGCGTAGCATTATGGGCATTCTGTTTAAAATAAAAGAGAAAATATCATGCAATGTATTGATGGTTACTGACAAAAAAGCCGAAAAATACACAAAACGTGCACACATCACTGAGGGGATTGGCATTTCTGTTGCTCATGTTAGAAAAGTTAAAAGAAATTGAATTAAACTCTGAAACTTGCTCTTGAATATAGAGCACCATAGGCAAATAGACGAAATGATAAAAGAGTTTAACAGAAAATTTCAAAGGGAAGCTCAAGAAGACAAAATATTACAATGAAATGTTATACTTTAAGTTAGAAAAAAAAAAAAGAACATGTTCTTCATTTATCAAGTTGAAAGAAGCAAAGGAAAAATAAACCTTGACTTATGATATTGAAGGAAAAAGGGTATGGATTATGACTCAATGTAAGGAAGACCAAAAGCCTCCAACTGGACCAATAAGCAATAGCATGGAAAGTTGAGAAAAGGATGACGTTGTCAGGGATTTCGTCTTGCTGGGATCCACTATCGGTGTTCACCAAGCAGCAGGGCTATGATGAAAAGACAGGCTGCATTAGGTCATCTGCTGCAAAAACCCTCTGCAGAGAAATGAAAAAGTGATTTGAGGACTATGGTGCAGGGCCATCACGTCAGGTCTTTCCAGTTGCTTCACATGACTGCAGACGTGGGATACTGAATAAGGAAGATCGAAGTAGAATCAGTGCATTTGACCTGTGACGCTAGAGAAGAATATTGAAAGTACCACGGAGTGCTGAAAGGACCAAGCTTTCAGCATCCTTGGAAGAAGTCTGGCCAGAGTGCTCCTTAGAGGCAAGGATGCCAAGCCTTTTTCTGACATACTCTGGACACGTTGTCAGGAGAGACCAGTCCCTGGAGAAGGACATCGTGCTGGTAAGTGGGAGGGCAGTGAAGCGGAAGGCCCTCGAGGAGATGGACTGGCAGGGGCTGCAACAACGGGCTCGGGCATAGAAACAGGTGTGAGGATGGCACAGGACTGGGCAGTGCTTCATTTGGCTGTGCACAGGGCCGCTATGAGTCGGAACCAACTCAATGTCACCTATCAATCACGTGGGGAAAACACTGAAGAATGCAGGAAGCATCAACAGAAGGTGGAAGGAATACACAGTCGCCACAGGAAAAGGTTCCGTTGATATTACACCATTCTGTGAGATAACGTCTGAGCAAGCACTGATGGTACAGAAGGAACAAGCTGAAGCTGCACTAAAGTCATTGGCAAAACACGGGCTCGAGAAATTGACAGGATACCAACAGATATTTCAGCAAATGGATGCAGCACTGCAAGTGCCCACTCTTCCATACCAAGCAACCTGGCGGCAGCTACTTGGCCAGCCAACTGGGAAAGATGCATATCTGTGATCATTCCAAACAATGATGATCTGCTGAGCTAAGGAAATGACTGAATGCTATCATTACAGTTGCACCCAAAGTAAAACTTTACGGAAGCTAATTAAAAATTGGATTAAGAAATGCTCTGACCAGGAGCTGCCAGAAACTCAAGCTGAATTCAGCAAAGGACATGAAATGAGGGACATCACTGCTGACGGCAGAAGGATCTTGGCTCAAAGCAGAGAATGCCAGAAAGATGCTTGCTTCATTGACTATTTAGATCTATTTCACTGTATAGATCTATGGATAGATCTATGTTATCCAACTATGCATAACATTGCAAAGAAAGGGAATTCCAGCACCCTAAATGGTACTCACATGGTTTCTGTAGACAGACTAAAAGAAATTTCAAATAAAACAAGGGCATTACATAGGGAACGCCAGTCTTAACTTTACAGAAAAGGGTTCTCAATGTCTGACATCACCACCACCATCACCACACTGAGCTGTACTCGGCTCTCAGTGTTTCACCCGTGCTGCCTCAGTGGTTCAGGGTCCCTAAAGAACCCTAGGATAAAGGCACATTTCCCCTGCTTTCCAGAGAAGGAAATGGGGCAGGCTGGAATCCCAGCAGTCTGCTGCAATGGGGACGTGGCTCCTCACCTGCCAATGGGTAGGGCATTGCGGATGATCCTCTGGCTGCCTCGGGTATATTCAATGTCCACTGTGATGGGGGCAGAATACGTCATGTCCCTCAAACGGCACTGAAAAGAGACAGGCAGCTACTGAGCCTCCTATTTGGAGAGGTGCCCTGACAATGTCAAAGAGCACTGGCTCTGGAGGTAGGGAGGAGTGGGGCCACCAGCGCACCTTGACCTCTCCTCCACTGAGCTACTCTGCACAGGGAGCTATGAGCTTACTTCTCCCGGAGGACAATGCCATGGGGTGGCGAGGCACCTCCACAGCACCCCTTCCCCTGCTGGCCTGGAAACAGAACAATAAACCTGATACTGGTTCTCTTAACATGGATCCAATGATGTTACCACCATCAGTCTGCTCCCTTATCTTAAAATGATTAAACTGCGCTCCGCAAACTGGGTCCATGGAAAACAATCAGAGGCCAGGGTTGTTGGTCAAAACTGCTACAACAGGTATAAAAACCGAAGTACACACGTGTGTATACACACACTACGCGCGCGCGCGCAAACACACAGAGTAAGGGTCTACTGTTGACTCCCATGACTGACCACCTACACACACACACACACACACACACACAGAATAAGGGTCTACTGTTGACTCCCATGACTGGCCACACACACACACACACACACAGAGTAAGGATCTACTGTTGACTCCCATGACTGGCCACCTACACACACACACACACACACACACAC